TGAAGAATGAGACACTACCAAACTAGGAGCTTATATATAAGCTGCATTGGGGGTTGAAGAGCGCCTTAACAAAAAGAATGTGCATGTGAAGAGGGATTTAGCATATTCATGGAAAATGCGTAGGCGTTGGGCGGGGGGGTGTCAAAGTCATATTATGCCCATGCATTATGCAGGATCAGCAGCAACCAAGGGGGGTGCAGGGATTAGCAGTAACAAAGGAAAGGAATGTTAATGATATGTAGCTGCAGTTACTCAACAACACGTAGAAAGCTAAAGTATAAACTACATAAAAAACTAAAGTATAAACTGCATCGCACCATCAGTATACTTACTATACTCTATAATAAGCTGAGTTACTAACAGCAAGTAATACATTACAATTTTACCTCGTAAAAATTCTATAATATGCTTCCATCTAAACCTTATTCTCTTACATCACACGAGCATATACCGTACTATATACTGCCATAGATAAACCCAACATTAAATTATATACTGTATTGCTGTAAACCAACCTATATCTTATACATTTAATATCACACTATGTATTATTCTACACACCCTAATGTGTATCGAAATGGTTTATTACGTCCTTCCAATGATTGCTGAGCCAGAATCCATCTTCTCGGTTAAAGTTGTCTCTGTGTTTGTATATGTGGATCGCCTCATGAACGAATCTCTCATGATAGCCAGATGGCTTGCAGAGAACCTCTGTCTTGGAGAAGTCAATATCATGTGAGCCCACTGAGTTGTAACAGTGATCTGCCACGGCTGAGGTGTTAGTCCTACCGTGTTTCAGGTCAGCTTTATGTTCACGGATGCGGTCCGAGACATGTCGTTTGGTTTCCCCAATGTAACTGCTACCACAGAGGCAACTTAGTTTGTAGACGCCAGGGTACTGTATGTCTGGAACCACATCTTTTACAGACGGTACCAGATCACGGATTTTATGTACTGTGTTGAATCGGACCTGGATCTTGTGTTTAATCAGGATTTTGGAGATCTTTTTTGTGACCCCAGCAATGTAGGGTAAGGTGATGGTCTTGAAAGGCTCCTCAACAGGATCCTTCTTGATGGTTGGAGTGATGGCTTTGCGGATTGTATAGTCGGAGTAACCATTTGCCTTAAGAGCTTGGCGTACGTGTTTGAGTTCATTGGAAATGTGTTCATGGTCGGAGATGCATTGGGCTCTATGATATAGAGTCTTGATGAGGGAATTCTTCTGAGATGGATGGTGGTGGGAATCCGGTTTTAGATAAGCATCCGTGTGGGTGGCTTTCCTGTAGACAGAGTGGCTCATTGAACCATCAGGTCTCCTTTTGATTAGGACATCCAAAAAGGGTAGCTTGCCATCATTTTCGACTTCCATGGTGAATCTGATGGCTGGGTGTATGGAATTGATGTGGTCGAGAAATTGGTCTAGAGCAGGCCGGCCATGTGGCCAGATGACAAAAGTGTCGTCTACGTACCTCTTCCATAAGGTCGGGCGTAGAGTGGCAGTCTGGATGGCGTCCGTCTCAAATTTCTCCATGAAGATGTTGGCTACAACCGGAGATAGGGGGGAGCCCATTGGGGTGCCCTCAATTTGCTTGTAGAAGGTTCCATTCCAGGTGAAGTATGTATTGGTTAAGCAGTGTCTCACCAGGGGGGGTACCCCAGCATTCAGTCCTTGATGAACCAAGTCTTCAATGATTGCGATGGTGTCAGGCACAGGTACCTTGGTGAACAAGGAAACCACATCAAAACTGACAAGCAGGTCGTCTGGGGACAGGGCAATCCCCTTGATTGTCGATACCAGGTCAGTAGAGTTTAGTACTGCAGAGGTGGTTTTTCCAGTGAAAGGCCGTAGGATTTCGGACAAAAAACGAGCCAGTTTGTAAGTGGGGGAGTTGATAGTAGAGACAATGGGACGAAGAGGTGTATCTTCTTTATGTATCTTTGGCAAGCCGTACAATCTTGGTGGTCTGGCTGCAGAAGGTTTCAACGAGAACTGTTTGGTCTGATCAATTAATGCGGTTGAAGCAGAAATGATGTTGTTGGTTTTGGAGACGAGGCTGTTGGTGGGGTCTCTTTTTATTTTTGTATAGCTGCCATCGTTTAGTAGTTCTTGAATTTTGTTGTTGTATTCTATTTTGTCCATGATGACAGTGGCATTGCCTTTGTCGGCTGAGAGGATGACAATGTCATCCCTCTTTTTTAATTGAGCTAATTCAAAACGCTCCTCTTTGCTGATGTTGCTAGCTGGCATCTTAGCGTTTTTGAGGGTTACAGAGATTTCGGATCTTGCTACGTCTGCAGCGATGTGACTCAAGCCCTTGAGAGCTACATCTACTCGAGCAATTATACCAGTTAATGATATAATTGCTCGAGTAGATGTAGCTCTCAAGGGCTTGAGTCACATCGCTGCAGACGTAGCAAGATCCGAAATCTCTGTAACCCTCAAAAACGCTAAGATGCCAGCTAGCAACATCAGCAAAGAGGAGCGTTTTGAATTAGCTCAATTAAAAAAGAGGGATGACATTGTCATCCTCTCAGCCGACAAAGGCAATGCCACTGTCATCATGGACAAAATAGAATACAACAACAAAATTCAAGAACTACTAAACGATGGCAGCTATACAAAAATAAAAGAGACCCCACCAACAGCCTCGTCTCCAAAACCAACAACATCATTTCTGCTTCAACCGCATTAATTGATCAGACCAAACAGTTCTCGTTGAAACCTTCTGCAGCCAGACCACCAAGATTGTACGACTTGCCAAAGATACATAAAGAAGATACACCTCTTCGTCCCATTGTCTCTACTATCAACTCCCCCACTTACAAACTGGCTCGTTTTTTGTCCGAAATCCTACGGCCTTTCACTGGAAAAACCACCTCTGCAGTACTAAACTCTACTGACCTGGTATCGACAATCAAGGGGATTGCCCTGTCCCCAGACGACCTGCTTGTCAGTTTTGATGTGGTTTCCTTGTTCACCAAGGTACCTGTGCCTGACACCATCGCAATCATTGAAGACTTGGTTCATCAAGGACTGAATGCTGGGGTACCCCCCCTGGTGAGACACTGCTTAACCAATACATACTTCACCTGGAATGGAACCTTCTACAAGCAAATTGAGGGCACCCCAATGGGCTCCCCCCTATCTCCGGTTGTAGCCAACATCTTCATGGAGAAATTTGAGACGGACGCCATCCAGACTGCCACTCTACGCCCGACCTTATGGAAGAGGTACGTAGACGACACTTTTGTCATCTGGCCACATGGCCGGCCTGCTCTAGACCAATTTCTCGACCACATCAATTCCATACACCCAGCCATCAGATTCACCATGGAAGTCGAAAATGATGGCAAGCTACCCTTTTTGGATGTCCTAATCAAAAGGAGACCTGATGGTTCAATGAGCCACTCTGTCTACAGGAAAGCCACCCACACGGATGCTTATCTAAAACCGGATTCCCACCACCATCCATCTCAGAAGAATTCCCTCATCAAGACTCTATATCATAGAGCCCAATGCATCTCCGACCATGAACACATTTCCAATGAACTCAAACACGTACGCCAAGCTCTTAAGGCAAATGGTTACTCCGACTATACAATCCGCAAAGCCATCACTCCAACCATCAAGAAGGATCCTGTTGAGGAGCCTTTCAAGACCATCACCTTACCCTACATTGCTGGGGTCACAAAAAAGATCTCCAAAATCCTGATTAAACACAAGATCCAGGTCCGATTCAACACAGTACATAAAATCCGTGATCTGGTACCGTCTGTAAAAGATGTGGTTCCAGACATACAGTACCCTGGCGTCTACAAACTAAGTTGCCTCTGTGGTAGCAGTTACATTGGGGAAACCAAACGACATGTCTCGGACCGCATCCGTGAACATAAAGCTGACCTGAAACACGGTAGGACTAACACCTCAGCCGTGGCAGATCACTGTTACAACTCAGTGGGCTCACATGATATTGACTTCTCCAAGACAGAGGTTCTCTGCAAGCCATCTGGCTATCATGAGAGATTCGTTCATGAGGCGATCCACATATACAAACACAGAGACAACTTTAACCGAGAAGATGGATTCTGGCTCAGCAATCATTGGAAGGACGTAATAAACCATTTCGATACACATTAGGGTGTGTAGAATAATACATAGTGTGATATTAAATGTATAAGATATAGGTTGGTTTACAGCAATACAGTATATAATTTAATGTTGGGTTTATCTATGGCAGTATATAGTACGGTATATGCTCGTGTGATGTAAGAGAATAAGGTTTAGATGGAAGCATATTATAGAATTTTTACGAGGTAAAATTGTAATGTATTACTTGCTGTTAGTAACTCAGCTTATTATAGAGTATAGTAAGTATACTGATGGTGCGATGCAGTTTATACTTTAGTTTTTTATGTAGTTTATACTTTAGCTTTCTACGTGTTGTTGAGTAACTGCAGCTACATATCATTAACATTCCTTTCCTTTGTTACTGCTAATCCCTGCACCCCCCTTGGTTGCTGCTGATCCTGCATAATGCATGGGCATAATATGACTTTGACACCCCCCCGCCCAACGCCTACGCATTTTCCATGAATATGCTAAATCCCTCTTCACATGCACATTCTTTTTGTTAAGGCGCTCTTCAACCCCCAATGCAGCTTATATATAAGCTCCTAGTTTGGTAGTGTCTCATTCTTCACCTGAGGACGGCTGCTTGCGTTGTAGCCGAAACGTCGTGAGAATTGTTTTATTATGTTTTATTTTTATTATTTTATTACTTCCCTTCTACGTGACTTTACCGAAAGAAACAAGAAGATGAATCCCTGCAGTCACGAAAGCTTTAAATTGGAATAAATATGTTCGCGTCGGTGGATGAAAGAGTGATCGGATGCATACGTGTGAGTGGGTAAACAAGCGAGTGAGTGGACTGTAAAGCAACAGGCACGAAAGTGAGTAGATGGTACAGTGCGTGGTCGAATATGTAATAATTGAGAGGATGAGTGATTAAAAAGGTTGACAAATCTGAGCATTGTTCCAACCTCCCCAGGCCCTCCAACATCAAACAGAAATTTCTCCTTCCCAACACCATGGACAGACAACTCAAGTGGGCTGAGATCTTGGAGGATTATGAGGGTAAGTCCCAGATACCTGCATCACGTGGCTTACATGCAGAGGAGGAGGCTCCCTAATCAATTACTTTTAATAGACATGGATTGGTAGTGATGGGAAGATGTAATGATCGAGTGTGGCAGAGAACGTGGGTTTAGATCTGAGTTTCAGCCATCATTGCTTAAACTGGGGTCTCAAGTTTATGGAATTGATGGTCTATCCATGCTCACAAAATACTGCCACGTGATGAATATTTCTCAATAGCAGCTCCTGTTGTGTGGTAAGAGGTAATTACAGGGATCTCAGAATTAGTTCTGTGAAACTCCATGTGCTTCGTTCTTTAATTTATTACTCGTCCTTTGAATTAATTTTATTTTTTCTGTAGCCCGGGAGTCGTGGCGCCAGTCGACCACGTGGGGAGACATTATGGATAAAGTGGACCCTTTCCCAGGACAAAGTTATGAGAATTGCTCCCCAAAGGTGTGTATGGGGTCTGTGGGGGTCAAACACACCACATTATCTCCATACTAGCGCACCATGTCACCACACCATCACACCAAACTATCACTACACCTCACATCACCACACTATCTCTCCATGTCACCTTTCTCATCACACCACACGACCACCAACTCAATACACGATCATAGAGCCTCATCATGCCTCTATACCATCACATAACACCGTCTCTCCAGAACATTCCACCACTTCCGCTCTCCATATCACAACACGATCTCTCAACACCATCACCCCATCTCTCCCCCATAACGTCATGCCATATCAAACATGTGAAGGCTCTTGAAGTAGCCATTTATTACCAATGAAGACACAATGACATCAGGAAGTAACATGAATTGTCTGTGCCATTCCAGTTGCCCACTATGGGTGCAGCAGTGATATTTGTCCAGATTATGGGCATCCAGATCTTTACAATGGAATATTCTGTGGAAACTATTGCCTGTGATGATTGTTGCCAAAAAATTGTCATGAAATCGTCACAGTCAATCACAGCCTTAAGTACGTGTATGGGGTTTGTGAGGGTATATGAGCATGTAACATGTATTTTGATAGGGTTTGGGTTATTTAGGGGCTAGGGCACTTACAATGTGATAAAAGTATTGATGGATAAGGAGTTATGTTAACATCAGGTGATTGTGTATATTCATGTATGTGCTAAGCAAGTTTGCATGAGTAAATGTAGTTTTTGCATCCGTACATAGATTTGTGAGTGCATTTGTGTTTGGGTTTATGAGCACGTCCATGTTTACGTGCCTGTGGGTATGAATTTTTGCTTGCATGTGCATGTCTGAATGTTTCTTTGCTCATCTTTGCTCGAACAGAGGAGCATTGGGGAGTTGAAGCACTTCAGCGGAGTGAAGCGTCTCCAGGAGAAGCACCTTGTGAAGGAGAAATGCACCATGGAAAAGGAGCACCTCATTGAGGTGCAGCGCCTTGCCAGGGTGAAGTGGCACACAGAGGAGAAGTGCCCCAGAGACAATCTACTCAAGAACCGCCTCATTGAAAAGCACCTCATTGAAGTAAAGTGCTTCAGGGATGAGAAGCGTCTTCACAAGGTGAAGTGTCTCGAGGAGAAGCATCGGGAGGAGGAGAAGCGTCTTGCCAGGGTGAAGTACCTTGGAGAGGTGAAGCGTCTCCAGGAGGAGAAGTGTCTCAAGGAGGTGGAGCACATCACTGAAGAGAAGCGCCTCATTGAAGTGAAGCGCCTCGCCAGGGTGAAACACCTCACACAGCAGAAGTGCCTCAGAGACAATCTCCTCAATAATGTGAAACGCCTGATGGAAAAGCGCCTCATTGAGGAGACCAGCTTCATGGAGGAGAAACGCCTTCGTAAGGTGAAGCGTCTCAAGGAGAAGCATCTGGAGGAGGAGGAAAAGCGTTTCACCAGGTAAATTACCTCACCGAGGTAAAGCACTTTGCCAACACGAAGCGGGTCGAGGAGGAGAAGCGCCTCATGGAGAAGACGCGCCTTGTTGAGGTGAAACTTCAAGAGGACGAGGAGCGCTTCATGGTGGAAAAGCACGTCGTGGAGGAAAAGCACCTTGTGGAGCAAAAGCGCCTTGTGGAGGAGCAGCGCCTCGCCAAGATGAAGCAACAGTGGCTCCGGACAACTACCACCAGCAGCCCTGCCGGCAGCACCACCAGCACCACCACCACCGCCGCCGCCACCTCCGCCACTGCCACCACCTCCGCCACTCTTGTGCAGGGCCCAATTGCTCCGAGCTTTGGAGAAGAGGGCTTCCAAGAAGAGAATGCAAACTCTGGAGCCACTGAGCCACGGTAAATCACTATGCATGTCCTATGTGTGGTTATTTATTTATATTGATGCTTGTTTTACTCAGGACGAGCCTCCCTAAGTCTCAAGACTTTTTTCAGGAGGGTCCTGCCAAGGTTGCTCGCAGTAGGGAATGAAGTTGCTACTGTTTTTGATCCAAATTAGGCGATTTGCATTGCTTGTGTGGATCAGTTACAGGGAGAAAGGTGCAGCACCCTTCCAGAATAGGGGGCAACACACTCCACAGAGAGAATATGGCCAAACATGGAAAACACGTTCCTTCGGAGTGGGCAGGTAGGAACTTGGTTGGACAGCACATTCGTGCACGACAGAAAGCTCGCGGTCACGTGATGCACTTCAACCAATCCCTGAACATACATGTTTGGGAGGGGCGATGCACGCCAGACAAATAATCCCTGGTGGGCAGTGTGAAACTGTTGTTCCTACCTGTATAATTCCACTCGTTGAGTTATCCTTCAGCGATGAGGACTCCAAACTGATTTTCTTCTCACCCAATCCGTTCGACCACCACTCGGCAGGTCACAACACTTTTCTCTCAGCTTCCTCCACGCACTGCTCAAATTTGGAAGTCCATCCTACGGTTTCAAATCTAATTATCTTGATCATTTCCATAAATATTTTGATTTCACACTTGATGATGATTGCTTGTGTTGCAGTCGAAACGTCGTGATAATTTTATTTTTTATGTTTTTATTATTTCCCTTCTACGTGAGAATATGAATGCCATAAATATGTTAACTCTTATCGACTACAACTTTGATTGTAGTGATGTTCATTGCTGACATGTTGGTCTTCTGGATCTGTGCTCAGCAACCATAACGAATGAAAACAAGCCACGCATATTCCTTCGAGTAAAATTGTCCACTGGAAAAATATCACCTCGTGGAGATGCCGGGGATTGACCCCGGGGCCTCACACATGCGAAGCGTGCACTCTACGACTGAGCTACATCCCCATGGTGGTTCTACCTGGGCTCAGTTCCACCTCGATACGGGGTGAAACTTCGTCATCAGCTTCTTCCTCTCCCTCGTCACCCCACTCACTCTCCTGTTGGCCCTGGGCCCTGTACACATCAAGTCTGCACAGAGTCCGAATTCACCCTCAGGTATCGTTCATATAGGGTTGTACTGGTAGGAAGCACCTGGTTCCACCAGCCCGCAGGGGATTATTGTGTCCATCCATCCATCCGTCGTGAATCCAAAAATGGGAGGGGTGGGGCTGGGTGGAGAGGGGAGGGTGGGGAGGGGATGGGAGGGGCTGGGTGGGGGAGGGTGGGGAAGGGCTGGTCACCCCGTGGTGCCTTTGTAGTGGTGGTATTGACGTGCGCCGGCAGTGATGGATCACGGGGCGCGGGGTTGGGCACGCGATGTGGGCGTGGCATGGACGCGCGCGCCGGTGGTGAGGCGCGCTCACACAAGCTGGGAAAAGAGGATCGTAGCGAGTGCGCAGTGATTGGTCAGATAAGTGAGTACTCTCAGCGACGTCCGCAGGAGGGGTATAAAGGGGGACGCGCGAGAGCACTCGTGGTCAGTGTTAACCAGTTGAAGACCGAAGACGGGGTGGAGGAGGTAGGGGCCCTGTGTGGCTCGAAGCCGAGACTGGGGGGACCGTAGTCCGACGCCCGTGTGGGTCGGGACGGTGGTACCCAGAGCCGAGACGGGCACCCCGGCTGGGTGTGTCCCGGAAGGCTACAGGGCGTAAGAGCCCGTGTCAGTACAGCTGAGTGGGTGTTAGTCACCCGTGTAGCTGAGTGGGTGTTGGTCACCCGTGTAGCTGAGTGGGTGTTGGTCACCCGTGTAGCTGAGTGGGTGTTGGTCACCCGTGTAGCTAAGTGGGTGTTGGTCACCCGTGTAACGAAGTGTAGCTGAGTGGGTGTTGGTCACCCGTGTAGCTGAGGGGGTGTTGGTCACCCGTGTAGCTAAGTGGGTGTTGGTCACCCGTGTAACGAAGTTGGAGCTGAGTGGGTGTCCGTCACCCGTGTAGCTAAGTGGGTGTTGGTCACCCGTGTAACGAAGTAGGGTGTTAGTCATCCGTGTAACTACAAGTTGGTGAAAATAAAGAGTGTGCTACCCGTGAAGTCGTCTCCTGCCGAGTTACTACTTTACAACTGGCGTCAGAAGTAAACCTGTCTTCAAGGAGAATGGACACAAGGAAGACTTCTCGTTCCCACGTGCAAGACCGGGGAGACGACGACGTACCGGTGACACCACCCTCGGGAGGAGAGGACGAGGAGTTGCCGCCGATGCAGCACTTCGCGGAAATGGCCGATGCTCCGCCCGCCTCCGACACCAGCCTGCAGGACGCACACTCCCGCCTGGCGGAGTTGCTGCTCGCCGCCGCTGCGATCTTGGCGGAGATCTCCGTTCCAGCGGCCGGTGGAACGCCTGCGGGGTTGGAAGAGGCGGCGCGGCTGGAGGGTTCCCGCCATAAGGCGTTTCGCGCCAAAAGTTTGGGAGTTGGCGCCATTTTTGAGGGTCCGCCTCCGGTTGGCGGGAAACGCGGACACCACGTGGCCAGAGGTCTCCACACAGCGCAGCCCGCGTCATCGGCGAGCGCCGGAGCTCTCCATTTTGCGCCTGCAGAGGGAGCCGACATTTTCTACAACCACAGCAGCGCGCGGGAAAATCGTTCCAACGACGACGACGACGATCGAGTTCTCCAGCAACGATTGCCCGCGCTGTCGGTGTTCAAGGCGGACGGGGGCGACTGGGGAGCCTTCCAGCGACGGTTCATCGCGCATCAAGAAATGTCGGGGTGGTCCGACACCACGGCCCTGCGCGCGCTGCCAGCGATGCTCGACGACGACGCGCTTGCGGCCTTCACGTCTGCCCCGAGGTCGTCCCGCTCAACGCTCCAGGCCGCGCTGCACCTGTTGGCCAAGGTGTTCGGGCCGCCCTCGACCTGTCGCCACCAGTTCTACGATCGGCGGAAGGTGGTTGGAGAAACAACGCTCGCCTATCGCACGGCGCTGCTCGCCCTGGCGGATTCAGCTTTTCCCCGCATGGACAAGGAGGGGAAGGACGCCATGGTGACGGAGCAGCTGCTGGCGCTGGCTCACGGATTGGGAGTTCCCATTAATACGGCGGACGAGATGGACATCTGCTCCCTGGGGATTGCCACGAGTATCCACGCTTACGAGGTCCTACAGCGGAAGCCGACGGTCGTCTGCGCATCGGTGGAGAACGGGGCACCGGCCGCCACGATCATCGGACCTCAGCCTGCTGTGCCTCGGGAGGAGGCCTTCGCTGGTTCGAGGCCGGGGGAGTGGAGACCGGGAGGTCGTTCGCCCACACGCTCCTCCCGCAAGCTGGAGCAACCGAAACCTACGACGTCCCTCGTCGTCTGCTACAACTGCGGCCTTCGGGGCCACGTCGCGGCCGGGTGCCGGGCCCCGCGTCAACGCACCGCGGGACCACGTCCGGACGACGACCAGGGACTCAAGACATCCCAACTGAACCCGGCAAGTCGCGGCACCTCACACGCTCGGTCCACACGCACGGCACGTTCGGGTCGCCGCTTAGCGGTGGGGGGACCGTGTATGGGCGCCGGGGGTTCGGTTCGGCGAGAGGGGTCCGCGTACGGCCCGAAGGCAGTCGAGTGGTCCGAATTGGCCCACAGGATTGTGGCTGCGTCGGCCGGGTCGTCCGTGGTAACGGGGTACATTGACGGGGTTGAGGTCCGGGTGCTCGTGGACACGGGTGCGTCGGCCACTATTATTTCGGACCTTATTTATAATATTCTTCCCGTACAATGTCGACCACTTCTGCCAGTGGACGTACCATTTTACGCGGCAAACGGGGGATCCTTGGGAATCATCGGCCAGATTCGGGCGAATATTTGTATTGGCGACATTAAATTAGCGGGTCCTATTTTTGTATCATCATCGTTGGCCGTTCCTTGTTTACTAGGCACGGACTTTCTGTCTAAAATGCCCATAAAAATTCTCATAGACCAGGCCTGCATTGAGCTTCCGTCGGGTCGGCGGGTTGAGTTTTTGAAGAGTCCAAATAAGATACGCACGGCTTGTGCGACGGTGCAGGCGCTGGCAACCCGGACTGTACGGGTGCCCACGGGATCGCAAATGTTGGTACCCCTTCGGTTGAGAAAACCCCTGGGGGCGGATGCGGGGGCGCAGGGAGTTCTATTGGGGCCGTCTAACAGGGCTAAAGGGGACCTCGGCTTAGCGGTGGCCCAGACCATGGTGAGGGGGGACAGTGAGCCGTTCGTTGTGGTCTTGAATACGGGGTCGCGGCCGGCCGTGATTACGCAGGGAACGGTGCTCGCTCACGCCGCGCCGCTACCCGTCGAGGAACAGCTCGTTGCTCACGCCGATTCACATGTCGATACGCATCCCCAAAGTGAGGAGGGGACGGAGTGGTTGGACGCGTTGTGTGCCGGGTCCAGTACCTTGTCCAGTGTGCAGTTGGGTGCATTGAGGGGCTTGCTGCTCGAGTTCGCTGACGTGTTTAGCAGGCACAAGTACGACATTGGCTGCACAGACCTGTTGCGCCACCACATAGAGACTGGGGACGCGGCCCCTATTCGACAGAATCCCTTCCGGCTCAGTCCAGCCGAGAAGGAGCATGTGCAGTCGGCAGTAAATGACATGTTGGCGGCCGACATCATTGCGCCCTCTTCCAGTCCGTGGGGTGCTCCTATCGTCTTGGTTAAAAAACAGGATGGATCCCTGCGGTTCTGTGTTGATTTCCGCCGCCTAAACAAAATATCAATGGCCGATGCGTATCCGCTCCCCAGGATGGATGAGTCGCTGGATGCCTTGGCAGGAGCACAGTTTTTTTCGACGCTCGATTTGCTTTCGGGATTTTGGCAATTGCCCCTCGATGACGAATCAAAACCTAAAACCGCTTTCCGGACACCGGGAGGCCTATTTGAGTTCAACCGATTGCCCATGGGTTTACATTCCGCGCCTGCCACGTTCCAGAGGCTCATGGAATTGGTTTTGTCAGGCCTTCAATGGGACACC